TTTCTCAGTCATGCGAGGAGTTAATTTCCGGCTCTTCATTTAAATAGAAACATTGTGCAGCAAGGTGACAGGAAGAATTCACAAAGTCGGGGTCAAGAAAGCTACTGATTTGAAACGTCTAATGATGAATAAAGACTCACAATGCAAGGGACAGAGAAGAAAAGCCTCAAAAAATGTTAGCTCGTTTTTGCACAAAACTACATTTTAAAAATATTTGCTACTTTTTCATGTAAACCCCTTGGTTTTTAATTTTCTCCTTGAAAATATTTTCATAGTGATATCAGTGAATTTCCAAGTAAAGAACAAAAAGCAAATGTCAGAAAAACGTACTGGGCACGATTTTTGTGTTTTTATTTTTAAAATTCCTGGACGATGGGCAATACACAGTAGATTCAAAGGCAAATAGCAGCTTCAGAACAGTGAGCCCTTCCTCTGCCGGGGAAAGCCCTGCCTATCAGCACATCAACAGGGAGATACTGCAGTGGGGGCCAGTATCTGGGTCTATCTGCAACGGAGGCATTTTGGCATTATAGCCATTTTAAGAAATCCGGAGAATGGGATGGGAAAGGTACTCTGCTCTGTTCTTTTCTCTAAGTCTAGGATCTTCTTTTAAGAGCTCTTCAAAGCATGTTCTTCTCTTGAGTTGCCACTCCTGGACAGAATACCAGAGCTGTGGGTGTCTTGTCTCTAGGAGCAAGAAGGAGGAAGAGACAATGAAAATATTGATCTCCTCTGTCCAGTGATAATAGTATACTAGGTACAGTAGAAACTCAGTTTTCTGGAACCCTTGGAGAGTGAGTCAATTTGGACAGAAAAATAAGTTTATTTTTTTACTATTTCATTAAATATTAATTATAAACCAATATATAATAAAATTTTAAAAATAAAAGGCACATTTATGAACCAACCACCAGTTTAAGAAATCACACCATTACCTTTATCTTTATGACTCTCCTGATTCCATTCCATCTTATCCTCCTATTTGTTCATTAATTCATTCATTTCAGTCATTCATTCAAATAATTACTGAGTGTCTAATATAAGCCTGGCACTGTTCTAGGTTCTTGAGAAACATCAGTCAACAAAACTGCAACAATCCCTATTCTTGTGTTACATCATGGTAGGAAGTTACAGATAATAAACACTGTAACAAACAAATTGTATAGTTTATTAAAAGATGTTTGGTGGTGTTATTTTTATAAAGAACAGAGCAAAAGAGATGGAAAGTCTTGGGTATGTGGGATGGAGGAGGTGGCTTGCAGTTGTAAATGGAGTGATCAGGGGTCTCTTTGAGAGGATGACGTTTGAGTAAAAACTTGAAGGTGAGAGAGCTGACCAGGAAGATCCCTGGGGAAGAGCTTCCCTTGCAAAGGCAGCATCCAGCACAAAGGCCCAACGAAATGAGCTTCCCAACCGGTGAGAGGAACAGCAAGGAGCCATTGTGGCCGGAGTAGAGTAGTAAGAGAAGAGGTCAGAGAATAGGACATAGAGACCAGGTCATGTGAGGTCTTCTTGCACAAAGGCATTTGGTTTTAGTAGGAGGGAAACAAAACCATTGAAGGGTTTTGAGCAAGGACATGACCTGACTTAGTTTTTAAAGGATCTCTCTTGCCCTGGCCCACGTGACTCATTTGGTTGGAGTGTCGTGGGTTCAATTCACAGTCAGGGCACATACCTAGATTGTGGCTTTGGATGGAGCACATACAAGAGGCAACCGATGTTTCCCTTTCTCTCCCTCTCCCTTCCTATCTCTCTAAAATCAATAAAAGCATGCCCTCGGGTAAGGATTAAAATAAATAAAGGATCACTCTTTTTGCTCTATTGAAAATAGACTACAGGGGAACAAGGTTGGAAGCAAGATTCTTACTGTCATAATAATCCAGGGAAGAATTTAAGGGTGTCTCAAACTCAGGTGGTAGCAGTGGAGATAGTGAGAAGTAGTTCAGATTCTGGTTGTATTTTGAAGGTAGAGTCAACAGGAGTCCCTAACAGATTCTACATGGGGTGTAAAAGAAAAAGAGGAGTCAGGATAACTACAACATTTTTGACCTGAGTAACTGGAAGGACCATGGGTGGAATTGGTTTGGTTGATGGAGAAGATCAGAAGTTCAGTTTTGGACATGCTACTTTTGAGATATCAGACATCCAAGTGGAGATGTCAAGTAGGCAGTTTAATATCCAAGACTAGTCTGGGTTGGGTATATAAATCTGGGACTCATGGACATAAAGGTGGCATTTAGAACTTTGAGACTGGATGGCCCTAAAAACTGAATGTCTATAGAGGAGAAAAGGGAAGAGGACTGTAGATTGAGCCATGGCAAATTACAGCATTATGAGTTAGGGAGAAGAGGGAGATGGAGCAAAGAAGACAGAGAAGTGACCACTGAGAAAAAACAAGAGCATGTGGTGTCCCAGAAGTCAAGTCAAGAAAGATAGCAAGTGGGCAAATATATTTAGATGAGAATTAATGATTGGATCTAGGTCATTGTCAAGATCTTTGATGACCTGAAGAGAAGTTTAAATGCAGTGGTGGAGGGCAAAGCCTGAATAGAGTGGGTTTAAGAGAAAACATCAATGGCAATTATAGAATAATTTGGGGGGTGCTATTTGTTTATCCCCCCCACCTATACTACACTGTCTTAATTATTAAATCCTTCCCATTGTGGTTTTTTTTTTCAGGAAGAGTTGTTTTTGACACTTTCCTCTTGCATGTAAATTTTAACATCCATGAGTCAAGTTCCACAAAAGAAAATTCTTGAATTTTTCTTGGAATTGCATCGAAACTCTACATCAGTTGGGTGGGGGTAGGGAGGCAAACATCTTTATGGCAAAGAGTTTTGCTAATCATGGCTCATATATCTTTTTCAATCTGTGTTATTTAATGTTTTCAAATAACATTTTCTAATTTTTTCATTGATGGTCTTGCACATCTCTTGTATATTTAACTATAAGTAACTTTATAATTTTTGATGATGTTGTAGATGTGTGTTTTTTTACAAACATATTCCGTTTTTATTCACCTACCAATGGAATATAAACTGGGCAGTCATTCATAATATCCCGGTATAAAGGGTTTACCAGTGTGAATGGTAGCCATGATCAAAATTTAATTTTAATTTTTACTTTTAATAACTTTTCACCTATAATCTATGGCTCATATCATACCCATGGATGCAGACTGTAGTGACTCTCTTTCTTATTTCTAAGAGGGAAAATTGTGATGACTAACCACAATCTGCCATCTGTGGAGGCGTAAGGTCAGATTCGGGGGACAGGCTGCTTGCATCCCAAAGCTACTTCTACTCACTCTCTCTGTGGCTGGCACAAGTTACCACCTGGTCTTGGTTTCATTAATCATAAAATGGGACAGCAATAATACCTATCTTATAGAGTCATTGCGATGATAAATGAGATAATTCATGAAAAGTGTATGTTTGAATAACACCATTTAGGAAGAGTCAAAGAAAGGTAGTTACTATTCTATTTCAGCGAGCATGCTTGCTGCTGCTGTTGCTCCACTGGTGGTCTATGCAAAAGCAGCTTGCACTGAATAGAACACTAAGTAGCAAAAAGATTTTTAAAAGTATGCTGAATCATCGGTATTATACAAGAATCTGTACCATAATAGATGCTTCTGGAAGATTCCTTGTGCATAGAACAATACCATTCAACAAATAGTAAGTTAATACTGAATATATGTAAGACGCTCTGCTTGATGCTGCAAAAGACATACATGAGAGTAAGACAACATTTAAGATCTAGGAAGCTAGACAAGGCAAACAGACTATTTTATGAGGCCAAATATGATAAGCATTGAGATAGCTTTGAGAAGGCTCTGAGAGTTTAAAGGAGAGATGGTACGAGATGATCCATTTGGGAAAGAATGGGGAAAGGTGTCATTGAGGAGGGAGGACTTATCAGAAAATATTCCAAGGTTTCATAGGTAAAAGAGTTAGGCACAGAACAGACATCTTTATTGATTTCAGAGAGAGGAAAGGAGAGGGAGAGAGAGAGATAGAAACATCAATGATGAGAGAGTCATTGATCGAGCCCTCAACCCGGGCATGTGCCCTGACCGGGAATTGAACCCCGTTCGCCTGGATCCCAGGTCAATGCTCAACCGCTGAGCCACGCCCGGCTGGGCCAGACTGTCTTTTTAAAAAAATTTTCATATGTTGATTATGCCAGCACATAAAACAAGTTGGGAAATCATTCTCCCATTTCCGCATTCTGGAAAAGATTGTGTAGAATGGAGAAAATTACAAATTAGAGAAGGTTATATAGCAGCCAATGAGACTTTTGCTGATTTTCCTCTTGCTGTCTCCCTCACTTTCAATCCCTGAGGTTGAAACCCATTTTCAAAGTACAAGGGAGGCCTAACTACTTATCCCATTCATTCTCCAACTTGCAACCAGAGTAAGGGCCCTACAATAGAGGCCAAAAGGACAAACAGCATCATGCACTCTTGGTTGGGTCCACAGCTCAGTGGTCCCTTATGATAAACTCCAAACTCTTTTAGGCATTAGAGGTGGCTCTAATGCTGATGAGGCCCTAAGTAAAAGTCACCTATGAGATTTTCCCCAGAAAAACCTGTTAAGGGTTCTAAAATGTTACCAAACTGCCAGCTAGAAATACCAACACCCCTCCCCAAAAGCACAGAACAACAGCAGGCACAGCACAGCAGAGCCCAGGTGGCCCCGGTGCAAACATGGTCAAGCAGCGTCTGCAGTTTCACCCAGGTGGGAGCGCAGTGGCCGCCCCTCCCCTTGTCTCTCTGGAGGCTCTTGGCAGCCTTGTAAAGCTTAAGCTGTGTTGATTTTGGAGGCAGAGCTTTGAAGGCAGGCGTGGTGCAGTCTATTCACTTACATGGAACTCCATTGAGCGACTGCTGTGACTGTTTGGACTCCTCCATCCTGCAGCCAGTGAGGCCGGGGTGGCCTGTGTACACAGCAGAGCAAGTTTCTTGCTTAGTTCATAATGCTACTGTTTGGTTCCAGTACCTGGCTGACTTCCTGCACCTTCTCACTGGGTTCCATGAAGTTCACGATTTCCATACTCCACATCAAGTGTAATGAGCATGACATGACCACCCCACATTTTTTATCACTGACTCAGCTCCCATTCAGTGAGGTTTGAGTGTCTCCCGCTGTCTCTGTTGTCAGATTCCTTCTGGCAAACCTGAAACATAGATGTGTCAGTATAAACTTGAACCTGAACCTGCTGAAGAAGCTTCCTGTGGCCCCCTGCCAACCCTGTCTGTTATCAGAGGGAGAAGCTGGGGTGGCTCATCTCTCAGAGATTGTCCAGGTGGATGGAGTGTCCTTTGGACACACCCCGGGGAAGGGGGGGCGTTTCTTATGTGGCTCTGCCACTGCTTCTGATGTGTGGGCTAAAAAAGAGGTCAAAGGGACTCAATTGGGAGGCTGTGCTGGGTGGGGGCACCCCTGAGGCCTGGTTGTATCCATGGTGCAGGTGGGGCCTTGAAGGAGATGGGGGGTGGGGGATGGTGTGGAGGGGAGCAGAGGCTGTGGAGAACCCAGCCTTGGCAAGACTAGTCTGTCTTTGCTGTTCTGCATGGAGGCCTGGCCAAGGCTGGGCCACTCCAAAAGCAGGGAATTCCTACATTGATTTGTGTTGGTGGAGAGGTCTCTGTTTCTGGAGGTGAGGTGGGCTCTTCCTCTTCAGGGAGCTAAGAGATTGGCAGGCCCATTGGCTCTGCTACTACCTTTCCACCCTGAGACCTGGTCCTCCTCAGGTGGCTTATGTTCTGCATTACTCCTTTGAATATTCTTAGAATAGGAATGAGAGGTCGGAAGAGCCAGCTTGTGGAAACTCCACTGCTGTATGTTGGCAGAGACTCCATGTACCATGTGAGGTATGGAAAGTGTGCTGCTATCAGTTAGGCCAGCTGAAGCCTGAATTTCAGGGCAGTGATGTGGTCCACCAGCTCAGCTCACTTGTAACTCAAGAACAAATAGGTGGCCATCGCTTTGTGGTGTTTCTGGACCATCAGCAAGTCTTGGATTTTCTCCCTTGTGTGACACATGGACACCATCAATGCAGTTGGCTGAGGTTCTTTGTAGTCAGGGAGTGTCTCCATAAAAGGCTTTAGTTCATCTTTATGACCTGTATTCATCCATGGATTTTTCTTAACGGGCCCTAAAGTGCCTCTCTTGCTGGGATTGAAAATGAGAAATTTCTTGAGCACTTCTTCACATTTCCTGCAGTTGTAAGTGGGATGAATATTCATTGAGTCCCCATGGCCGAGAGGCCCTGCAGTGTGGTGGACTTAACTGCTGACCTTGGAGTTAAGGTGTCATAAGGTCAATTTAAAATTGGAAAAGGCTGGTGAGAAGCTTGGCCCAAATCATCTCAAAAGAAAGTCACTTCCAGAATCCATCTTATGAACTTATTTTTATAATGGAATCAAAACAAATTGGCCCAGCCCTAGCCTATTTGGCTCAGTGGTTACAGTGTCGGCCCATGGACTGAAGGTCCTGGGGTTCTATTCCGGCCAAGGGCATGTACCTCAGTTGCAGGCTCTATCTCTGGCCTGGTTGGGGCATGTTCGAAGGAAACCAATCGATGTGTCTCTCTCACATCAATGTCTCTCTCTTTCTCTTTCTCCCCTACCACGCTCTCTGAAAAACAATGGAAAAAAATATCCTGGGGTGAGGATTAATAGAAAATAAACAAACACAGTGGCGAACCAAACACATAAATAACAAATACTAACAAAACAAATTTAAAAAAATGATAAAAATAAGTTTAAAAAGGAAAAAAAATGAGAAAAAGGTGTGATACTGGACACAACAGGTCCAAGACCTCCTATCACTACTTGAGCCAAATTAAGCAGAGACAGGGTTGAATCATATATGAGAGTTAATGCCAACAATACTGGCAGTATGGAGAGAGCAGTCAGTCACTGGAAATTCTGCTCTGACCCTCCACTGGCCAGCTGGCTGATTATATATGGGCGAGGGAGAAAGCTACGTACAGCTGTGGGCTGCGAGTGTAAAAGGGAAAAAGGGAGGCGAGGGTCTACAGTTCTGCAGTCTGGCCCTCAGGAGCTCAAAGCCTGATAAGGTGGCTAATCTTCTGTGATGTTACAAACAGCTCAGCCCGTTCCTGGGACCGAAGGATGATCAGCATTCCTGAGGAAAACTCCCAGAGGGGTCAGGGTCCAGACACAGCAGCGAAATCAGAGTGTCTTGTCCTTAGTCTGTTCTCAAAATGTATTTCTTGTCTGAGTAATGAACCCATTAAGGCATCTTATCTTTTTACAGCCTTGTTTCAGCCTCCAGTTTCCCAGGGTCTGTAAGAAAACCTCCTATCTATAGTTAATAAGGTGAATGATTATTAAACAACTGTGACTCTATT